GATGCAACATCCCAGCAATTCCAGGAACAGATGTTAAAAATTGACCACTGTCTGGAAATTCTTCCAGCTCCTGCACCCAACATCTTCTCATGGGGGATTTCAACTTAAGGCACCTAAAATGGAGGTATATAGCAAATAATATTGTTGCAGTAATAACACCAGGAGGCAGCTCTGATGAAAACTCACACTCACACGAGCTTTTAAATCTCTTCACAAAATTCAATTTAAACCAGCAAATAATAGAGCCTACTAGACTGGAGAATACACTAGACCTCATCTTCACTAACAATGATGATCTGATAAGAAATGTCACCATATCAAAAGCAATATACTCAGATCACAACATAATTGAGGTTCAGACATGTATGCGTGGAGCCCCAGACCGACATAATGAGACTAGTCACGAGGGAGTATTCACCAAATTCAACTTCAGTAACAAAAACATAAAGTGGGACCAAGTAAACCAAGTCCTAACCGATATAAGCTGGGAAGATATACTAAGAAACACAGACCCCAACTTATGCCTAGAACAGATTAACTCGGTGGCACTCGAAGTATGCACAAGGCTTATTCCTCTAAGAAAAAGGAGGAGTAGATGTAAAATAGAAAGAGACAGGCGCTCCCTTTACAGGCGACGGAAAAGAATAACAGAGCGGCTAAAAGAGGTCAATATATCTGAAATGCGTAGGGAGACACTGGTCAGAGAAATAGCAAGCATCGAACTTAAGCTAAAAGAATCCTTTAGGAGTCAGGAATCGCGGGAAGAACTAAAAGCCATAAATGAAATCGAAAGAAACCCAAAGTATTTCTTCTCCTATGCCAAATCAAAATCGAGAACAACGTCCAGTATTGGGCCCCTACTTAAACAAGATGGGTCCTACACAGATGACAGCAAGGAAATGAGTGAGCTACTCAAGTCCCAATATGACTCAGTTTTTAGCAAGCCGCTAACCAGACTGAGAGTCGAAGATCAAAATGAATTTTTTATGAGAGAGCCACAAAATTTGATTAACACAAGCCTATCCGATGTTATCCTGCCTCAAATGACTTCGAACAGGCGATAAATGACATGCCCATGCACTCTGCCCCAAGGCCAGACTCATGGAACTCTGTGTTCATCAAGAACTGCAAGAAGCCCCTATCACGAGCCTTTTCCATCCTATGGAGAGGGAGCATGGATACGGGGGTCGTCCCACAGTTACTAAAAACAACAGACATAGCCCCACTCCACAAAGGGGGCAGTAAAGCAACAGCAAAGAACTACAGACCAATAGCACTAACATCCCATATCATAAAAATCTTTGAAAGGGTCCTAAGAAGCAAGATCATCACCCATCTAGAAACCCATCAGTTACACAACCCAGGGCAACATGGGTTTAGAATAGGTCGCTCCTGTCTGTCTCAACTATTGGATCACTACGACAAGGTCCTAAATGCACTAGAAGACAAAAAGAATGCAGATGTAATATATACAGACTTTGCAAAAGCCTTCGACAAGTGTGACCATGGCGTAATAGCGCACAAAATGCGTGCTAAAGGAATAACAGGAAAAGTCGGTCGATGGATCTATAATTTCCTCACTAACAGAACACAGAGAGTAGTCGTCAACAGAGTAAAGTCCGAGGCAGCTACGGTGAAAAGCTCTGTTCCACAAGGCACAGTACTCACTCCCATCTTGTTCCTCATCCTCATATCCGACATAGACAAGGATGTCAGCCACAGCACCGTGTCTTCCTTTGCAGATGACACCCGAATCTGCATGACAGTGTCTTCCATTGCAGACACTGCAAGGCTCCAGGCGGACATCAACCAAATCTTTCAGTGGGCTGCAGAAAACAATATGAAGTTCAACGATGAGAAATTTCAATTACTCAGATATGGTAAACATGAGGAAATTAAATCTTCATCAGAGTACAAAACAAATTCTGGCCACAAAATAGAGCAAAACACCAACGTCAAAGACCTGGGAGTGATTATGTCGGAGGATCTCACCTTCAAGGACCATAACATTGTATCAATCGCATCTTCTAGAAAAATGACAGGATGGATAATGAGAACCTTCAAAACTAGGGAGGCCAAGCCCATGATGACACTCTTCAGGTCACTTGTTCTAGCTAGTCTGGAATATTGCTGCACACTAACAGCACCTTTCAAGGCAGGTGAAATTGCCGACCTAGAAAATGTACAGAGAACTTTCACGGCGCGCATAACGGAGATAAAACACCTCAATTACTGGGAGCACTTGAGGTTCCTAAACCTGTATTCCCTGGAACGCAGGAGGGAGAGATACATGATTATATACACCTGGAAAATCCTAGAGGGACTAGTACCGAACTTGCACACGAAAATCACTCACTACGAAAGCAAAAGACTTGGCAGACGATGCACCATTCCCCCAATGAAAAGCAGGGGTGTCACTAGCACGTTAAGAGACCATACAATAAGTGTCAGGGGCCCGAGACTGTTCAACTGCCTCCCAGCACACATAAGGGGGATTACCAACAGACCCCTGGCAGTCTTCAAGCTGTCACTGGACAAGCACCTAAAGTCAGTTCCTGATCAGCCGGGCTGTGGCTCGTACGTTGGTTTGCGTGCAGCCAGCAGCAACAGCCTGGTTGATCAGGCTCTGATCCACCAGGAGGCCTGGTCACAGACCGGGCCGCGGGGGCGTTGACCTCCGGAACTCTCTCTCCAGGTAAACTCCAGGTAAACAGTACCACTACAAGAATTAATAGGGTGCTAACGAATGGTGACTGTTATGTTATCTATGGAAGTGATGCGGGACAGAGTATGGGCTTGCTCTGATTTCTGTACTGTTATGACACATGCACCACTTCAAAGAGCATGGTAGGATATATTTTGGCCAACGTGCCATAAAAGAGTTTTCCCAAATCAATGATCAGAAAGATAATTGGTTTGAGACATCGTCTGTAAAGAAAAGAATTATGTCCATTGCATACTAGTTAGCCCAGTATGCAAAGGTAGTGTCACATAGGTCGTTTCTGAGAGATCATCGATGAACTGTCGTCAGTAGGTTGTCTTGGACGTTTAGGAGTAGTACCGTGGGTGGTCTGACCTGAGGGTTGTGGGTCATCCAAAAACTTTCACACTGTATTTGGGGAAGCTGGAACCATTGTGAAAGGCGTGCGAGAAGCAGCAACATGTACAGAAATGGGTGATGCTGCAGCACCTGAAGCAGGTGACGAAGTGTCACCAGCAGAAGGTACAGAGATATGAGAAGAGTGGAGAGAATGGACCAATAATGAAGCCAGGTCAGAACAGGGTGTGTGATCAGAAAGGGGTCTGGGAAGAGAAAGGGTTTCACTGGGTGAAGACTCCATAATTAAGGTGCTTCTTCTGTGATATCTCCTTTCTTGTTATTTTGAAAAAAAAACAAGAAAAGAAAAGGAAAAAAGAGGGACAGCGGAGGGACAATCGCTGAAAACTCCACCCCTCATCCGAGAGGGCCTCGAGCCCATGTGTGGAACCTGTTCCATACCCTACCCTTCAAGCCAGTAAACCAGTGCCCTGGGATAGCAGCCTCACGTCTACCGAGCTACCTCAGCAGACAAAAGAAAGGGCAGTCGGAAACCCACCACGTAGCATCCGCCATCTCCCAGAACTGACAGGCAGCTTTAGGAGATCCATCCATTACCCAAAGGGCACCTCGCCCACTTCCCAGAAATCCGGGATGGGAGAAGGGCAACTTCAGAAAATTCAGATTACACAGCAAACCACACCACCCCTGAGGGACGTCACGGAGTGGGACGAACCCCAGCACACCACCCCCTACCTATAAACTGTAAGACCAGAGGTGAGGACCCCAGAGGCTATAAATGGGACTGGAAACAAGGGGAGGGTAGGGAGAGGGGAGGAAAGGGGAAAAAAGGGGGGTATGAGGAGAGTGGGGTAGGGAAGGGGGGATTGGGGGGTTAATTAGGTTCAGTTGGAAGATGAAGGCAAAAAGGTCCAATTTCTCAGACCGATAGCCTCTTTACCACTGTAAGAAGCCCCCCTTTAAAGAGGGTTCAACTGCAAGAATTGAAATGTTTATGAATTGTGGTACCAGTATTGTTAATACATTGGCTTAAGCCGGTAGGAGACTTGGACCTGCCTCGCATGGGCCAGTAGGCCTTCTGCAGTGTTCCTTCGTTCTTATGTTCTTAATACTGGTAAGAAGTGAGAGGTTATGAGCATGTCCAGCATTGTACACTGTGACAATGTGGACATTACTCTTTAGAACATTAACCCTTAAATGGTCCAAATGTATATATATGTTCACCTGTGCAGCGCTCTGAATATTGAGAAAAAAATTATAGAAAAAAAAAAGAGCATGTGGTACCCAGGCATCCCCAATTTTTTTCATATGGTGCACACTGAGTGTGCACACCCATTCTCTCATGTCTAGGTTACTCAGGCCTATTGTGCCAATGTTGAATGACAAATGAAACGTATATATACATTTGGGGCACTACGCAAGAGAACATATTAATACGTTCGGACCATTTAAGGGTTAAACACTCTATCCAACATGGCATAGGAGTGCCTTGCTGATACTATTACCTGGAGAGGGTTTTGGGGGTCAATTCCCCTGTGGCTTGGTCTGAGACCAGGACTCATGGTGGACCAGGGTCTGATCAACCAGGCTGTTACATCCAGCCACATGCAAACTGACAGATGAACCACAGCCCGGTTGGTCAGGTACTGACTTTAGGTGCCTGTCCAGTGACTTCTTGAAGACAGCCAGGAGTCTATTGGTAATCCCCCTTAAGTATGCTGGGAGGCCCAAAATTCCTCCAAAAAAGAATGTTTTTTTCTTAATGTATGTAATATGCTTCCACTACCTTCTGTCTTTCAAGCACACCAAAAAAAAAAAAAGCTTCCCTTACACTGTCAAGACTCCTGCTCACAAATTTACTCAAAATGTAAAAGAATTTAAAAGAATTATTTTTTGCTTATGAAATGATAATCTTTTCCTAATGATAATGAAACTAAAAGTATGAAATTTGATGGAAAATTTACTGAATTACGTTCACACAAAGTTAGCAGTCTGGCAATATTTATGCATCATCAATTTTGCCAACTATGAGCCCTGTTTTTGGTCAATTCCACTGTTCCAGTCAACTAAACTCATAGCTATTTCGCTAGAACTCCTTTTCTTCTATCGATTGAGTACATGAAACTGCCCATTTACCAATTTCAACCTCCCAATAAAGTGATAAAAAATTGGCGATTTGGCCAATTGTATACAAAATTCAAGGAAAGCCAATTTCAAAATAAAGTCCAGAATTAACAAGGCAAACATTTCTAGCACTAAAATAACATTTTCTCTGTTCATTAGTCACTTCTCCAGGCCCCTTCATATTATGCTTGCTTTCCATTTTGAATTTTTATTAACACAGAAAATAAAAGATTTACTGTTATGCAGACTACTGCACAATTGTAAAAATTGTATTAATAATATCAACACATTTGTGAAAGCCTATCAAACTCACCAGTTGATGAGTATTGGACATGTGACGTGATTTGTATTCTTTTAAACATCAACAAATATCAAACATTTCCTCTACTTTGAGCTCAATTTCAAGGTACTTTTAGTCCATAAACCAATAAAAATCAATTCAATTTTTGCAGTATATCTTCCAAGTGTAGTATATCTTCAAATGAGACAAAGAAAATGAAAATACAACCATTAATAAACTTTGTTTAAATTAGCAACAACACTGTTTTAAACTAAAAAAAGAAAGTTTTTTTCCTCATTATGCACTGCATGCTGAAGGATTTTTCTTATACTGCACACACTGACCACTCAGACACATTCTCTCATATGTAGGCCTACCATCTTTCTTCTGCAAGATTCGAAGCTGCTAGAATTATGGTGTAGTATTACAGGACCAACACTGGCTTGAATGTCATAATATTATGGGACCAACAGTGAAAGTGTTAATATCAGTGTTGGTAGAGGAAGAAATTTTAGTGCATGACACATGACACCTCTTCTGGCAAAGCTTTCTCTTTAGTATGACTTCTCATGTGACTTTCTAAATGAAATCTTTTAGAAAAGTCTTTCAGACATTCTGAACACTTATACGGCCTATCTCTAGTACGAGTTCTCATGTGACCTACTAAATTAGATTTTCTGGATAACTCTTTCAGTATGAGTTCTCATGTGACTTACTAAACTTGATTTTCGAGTAAAGCATTTCAGACATTCTGAACACTGATATGGCTTCTCTCCAGTATGAGTTCTCATGTGACTTACTAAGCTTGATTTCTGAGTAAAGACTTTCAAACATTCTGAGCAATGATATGGATTAACTCCAGTATGAGTTCTTATGTGATTTTCTAAATAATTTTTGCGAGAAAAGTCTTTCAGACATTCTGAACACTGATATGGCTTCTCTCCAGTATGAGTTCTCACGTGTCTTACTAATGGTGATTTGTGAAGAAAGTGTTTCAAACATTCCGAACACTGATATGGCTTCTCTCCAGTATGAGTTCTCATGTGAACTATCAATTGTGAATTTTGAGTAAAGTCTTTCAGACATTCTGAACACTGATATGGCTTCTCTCCAGTATGAGTTCTCATGTGAACTATCAATTGTGAATTTTCAGAAAAGCGTTTCACACATACTGAACACTCATATGGTGTCTCTCCAGTGTGAGTTCTCATGTGTCTTACTAAATGTGAATTTTTAGAAAAATCTTTCAGACATTCTGAACACCGATATGGATTCTCTTCAGAATGAATTCTCATGTGACTTATTAAGCTTGATTTATGAGAAAAGTCTTTCAGACATTCTGAACACTGATATGGCTTCTCTCCAGTATGAGTTCTCATGTGAATGACTAAATTATAGTTTTTAGAAAACTCTTTTAGACACACTGAACACTGAATTGTTTTTTTGCCTGTGACAAACCTGGTCTGATATCCACACTGAGATTGTTGTGAAGATTGTTTGAGTGAGTGTGAATGTTGATCTAATTCGTTTCCTACGTGAACAACTGTACATTGTGTTGCCTCAACACATTGTTTTTCAGGTGTTTTAGACATAATGAACAATAAGTTCTCACATATTTAAATTGCTTAACCAGGGGATATTTGAGAATATTTTATTACAGAAAAAAACTAATATTACTGAATTATTCTATCACCGTAAGTATAGCAAACACTAAACATGTAGGGGTAAGCATGTCTGAGGAATAAGAAGGATGACACTAGCAGACATTTATGACACATTAACCTTATGACACTGTTGTTGGCACTCTAAGTGTTGTAGCACCAACATTGTTGTTACAGTGTTTTCATTGTATAAGCACTGTTGTTGCAGTGTTGTCACTGTTCAAGCACTGTATTAGTGTTGACAAGCATGAACACTAGTTATTATCACTGTATTAACACTGTAATTGGTGTTGTAATTGTATTAACACTGTGGTTAGTGTTGTTACTATATATACATTACAGTATTTACAGAACTTACAGTAGTTTACTGACACTGATGTTGGTACTACAAGTACCACCTTCTTGTACCAGGATGACCTGCAGTATTGACACTACATGTACCACCTTCTTGTACCAGGATGACCTGCAGTATTGACACTATAAGTACCACCTTCTTGTACCAGGATGACCTGCAGTAATGACACTACATGTACCACCTTCTTGCACCAGGATGACCTGCAGTATTGACACTACATGTAACACCTTCTTGTACCAGGATGACCTGCAGTATTGACACTACAAGTACCACCTTCTTGTACCAGGATGACCTGCAGTATTGACACTACAAGTACCACCTTCTTGTACCAGGATGACCTGCAGTATTGACACTACATGTACCACCTTCTTGTACCAGGATGACCTCCAGCATTGACACTACAAGTACCACCTTCTTGTACCAGGATGACCTGCAGTATTGACACTACATGTGCCACCTTCTTGTACCAGGATGACCTGCAGTATTGACACTACAAGTACCACCTTCTTGTACCAGGATGACCTGCAGTATTGACACTACATGTACCACCTTCTTGTACCAGGATGACCTGCAGTATTGACACTACATGTACCACCTTCTTGTACCAGGATCACCTGCAGTATTAACACCAAAAGATGATCTGCAAAATAAAATTGAAAATTTATGACCTATTATTATAATCATTATAAGTAATTATAATTAATATCATTATTATTATTTTAAACACACCAGCCATCTCTACCAGAGGTAAAGTGACTCAATAAAGAAGAAACACTTTCTCCATCATTGTCTTGCAAGAGGAGGGCTGTTGTTACACTTCTGATGTCCATCCAAACTGTAAATATTCCCACTCATCCTTCAGAGTGCAGACACTCTACTTCACACCACCACTCATCCTTCAGAGTGCAGACACTCTACTTCACACCACCACTCATCCTTCAGAGTGCAGACACTGTACTTCACACCACCACTCATCCTTCAGAGTGCAGACACTCTACTTCACACCACCACTCATCCTTCAGAGTGCAGACACTGTACTTCACACCATCACTGATCCTTCAGAGTGCAGACACTGTACTTCACACCACCACTGACCCTTCAGAGTGCAGACACTGTACTTCACACCACCACTGACCCTTCAGAGTGCAGACACTGTACTTCACACCATCACTGATCCTTCAGAGTGCAGTCACTGTACTTCCCACCACCACTCTTCCCTCAGAATGCAAGCACTGTACCTCTTACCTCTACTCCTTCTTCAGAGTGCAGCCACTTTACTTCCCACCTGTACCACTCTTTGTGAGTGCATGCACTGTACTTCCTACCACCACACCTCCTTCTGAGTTCAGGCACTGTACTTCCAACCACCACCCCTTTTTTAGAGTACAGGCACTGTATTTCCCACCTCCAGGACTCAAGCCTGATTAGCTAGTTTCCCTAAATGTCATGTACAAAAACCCATTTTCCTCCACTCCTTTATAATATGTTCACACATGCCTGCTTGGTGTCGAAGCCCCCTACACACAAGACCTCCTCTACCCCCTCCTTCCAACTTTCCTTCCACTACAGATTTATATGCCCTCCTCTGAACATCCAATGCACCTCAACAACCTCTTCTCAGCTCTCTGGATAATACTTTTATTAACTCTGCACCTCCTTCTTATTTCAAACTCATTCTCTGCATAATATTTACACTACACAGTATTATTTTTTTAACACATTGGTCACTTCCCACCAAGGTTGGGTGACTCAAAAAAGAGGAAACACTTTCATCATCGCTCTATCACTCTATCTTTCCAGAAGTTTACTGATACTACAGTTCAAAAAGTGCAACATATTATTATACAGTGTTCACATAATGAGTCACATCTGTATGTGTAAAAGATCACTACAAGACTGAGGGAACTATCAGTAAGAGGAAGCTCAGTAAAGCCAGAGTTTAATGTGACTCACTTTAATAAGACAGAAATACTCAACAAAATTCTAAGGGACAATTTAGACACAACAAGTTTGCAAGATTACACAATTGCTTGTGTACAATCATAAAACAATCTCATCTCATTCCACCTAAATTACCTTTGCTGACTATCTGCTCCCCAATATTAGTTTGATTAATTGATGGGTGAATGAGATAACTGAACTTATGAACTAACAAATCAGACTATATATATATACATATATATATATATATATATATATATATATATATATTATATATATATATATATATATATATATATATATATATATATATATATATATATATTTATATATATATATATATATATATATACAGTGGACCCCCGCTTAACGATCACCTGCAAATGCGACCAATTATGTAAATGTATTTATGTATGTGCGTTTGTACGTGTATGTTTGGGGGTCTGAAATGGACTAATCTACTTCACAATATTCCTTATGGGAAAAAATTTGGTCAGTACTGGCACCTGAACATACTACTGGAATGAAAAAAGTTCGTTAACCGGGGGTCCACTGTATATATATATATATATATGAATACAGTGGACCCCCGGTTAACGATTTTAATCCGTGCAAGAGGGCTCATCGTTATGCGAAATAATCGTTATGCGAATGAATTTTCCCCATAAGAAATAATGGAAATAAAATTAATCCGTGCAAGACGCCCAAAAGTATGAAAAAAATTTTTTTTTACCACATGAAATGTTAATTTTAATACACACAAACTGAAAAAGGCATGCACAATTACATGACACTTACTTTTATTGAAGATCTGGTGATGATTGATGGGATGGGAGGAGGGAGAGCATTATCTTCTTACTGTTTAGAAGGGGAATCCCCTTCCATTAGGACTTGAGGTAGCAAGTCCTTTTCTGGGGTTACTTCCCTTCTTCTTTTAATGCCACTAGGACCAGCTTGAGAGTCACTGGACCTCTGTCGCACAACAAATCTGTCCATAGAGCTCTGTACCTCCCGTTCCTTCAAGACTTTCCTAAAATGGGCCATAACATTGTCATTGAAATAGTCACAAGCACGGCTTGCAACAGCTGTGTCAGGGTGATTTTCATCTATAAAGGTTTGCAGTTCAACCCACTCTGCACACATTTCCTTAATCTTTGAAGTAGGCACAATGGATTCCACAACTGGCATAGGCTTTCCAGGGTTAGCCCCAAACCCTTCAAAATCTTTCTTAATTTCCATACTAATTCTCACCCTTTTTACCACAGGGTTGGCACTAGAAGCTTTCTTGGGGCCCATGGTCACTTATTTTCCAGAAACAGCACCGAAAATACTGTAATAATACGAAATATTCCGAGTGTATGCTTGGATGTTACCGCGGAGGCTGGCTGGTAAACAATGGGACGGAGCGGCACATGTGAGGCTGGCTGAGGGCACATTGGACGCGTCTCGGACGAAAATCGGTATGCGGGTTTTTAATCGGTATGCGCGGCAAAAATTTTGCGATAAAAGTAATCGTTATGCGGAAAAATCGCTATGCGATGCCATCGTTATGCGGGGGTCCACTGTATACAGTGGACCCCCGGTTAACGATATTTTTTCACTCCAGAAGTATATTCAGGTGCCAGTACTGACCGAATTTGTTCCCATAAGAAATATTGTGAAGTAGATTAGTCCATTTCAGACCCCCAAACATACACGTACAAACGCACTTACATAAATACACTTACATAATTGGTCACATTCGGAGGTAATCGTTATGCGGGGGTCCACTGTGTATTATATATATATATATATATATATATATATATATATATATATATATATATATATATATATATATATATATATATATATATATATATATATTTGTATATATATATATATAATATATATATATACATATGTATATATATATATATATATATATATAAATATATATATATAATATATATATATATATATATATATATATATGTATATAAATATGTATATAATATAATATATATATATATATATATATATATATATATATATATATATATATATATATATATATATATATATGTATATATATATGTATATATATATATATATATATATATATATATATATATATATATATATATATATATATATATATATATATATATATATATATATATATATATATATATATATATATATATATATATATATAGGGAGGGGTGTTAATGTTGCAGTTTAAAAACTGTAGTGAAAAGCACCCTTCTGGCAAGACAGTGATGGAGTGAATGATGGTGAAAGTTTTTCTTTTTCGGGCCACCCTACCTTGGTGGGAATCGGCCAGTGTGATAATAATAATAAAAATAATATATATATATATATAATATATATATATATATATATATACATATATATATATATATATATATATATATATATATAATATATATATATATATATATATATATATATATAAAATAGTATCTGCACTTCAAGTCAGCCTTTCTCAAAGTGCCAACCCATCGAGACCAAGGGTGCTAATGACTATTGCAATGACGAAAGAGATAATTGCTAAGTATGAAAGTGGAGTGCGTGTGTCGGACCTGGCCAAGTTGTATAGTAAATCCCAATCAACCATCTCTACTATAGTGAGCAGGAAAATGGCAATCAAGGAAGCTGTTCTTGCAAAAGGTGCAACTGTGATTACAAAACAGCGATCCCAAGTGTTAGAAGATGTTGAGAGACTGTTACTGGTGTGGATAAATGAAAAATAGATAGCTGGAGATAGCATCTCTAAAGCGATCATTTGTGATAAGGCTAGGAAGTTGCATAAGGATTTAATTAGAAAAATGCCTGCAACTAGTGGTGATGTGAGCGAATTTTAGGTCAGCAAAAGTTGGTTTGAAAGATTCAAGAATTGTAGAGGCATACATATTGTGATTAGGCATGGTGAGGCTGCCAGTTCAGACCAAAAAGCAGCTGAAAAGTATGTGCATGAATTCAAGGAGTACATAGAGGCTGAAGGATTGAAACCTGAACAAGTGTTTAATTGTGACGAAGCAGGCCTGTTTTGGAAGAAATTGCCAAGCAGGACTTACATTGGAAATATAAACACACATGCAGTATAATGTGATCCTTTATTGACTACGTTTTGCCCACACAGTGGGCCTTTTCAAGTCACAAACAGAACTACCTGGGGTGGAAGGAACGCGAGTATTTATAGTCAGGTTCAGAATGCTGAGGTCAGGTGGAGAATGCTGCATCTGATGATGTACCGAGTGGGGTTATAGAGTCTAAAATCTTGGGTAGCTTGGAAAGGAGATTGGACAAGTTTGTGAGCATACCTTCTACAGTGTTCTTATGTGGGATAGCGATGAAGAAGCTTCTTGGCAAGTGGTTCAGCTATGTTATAGAAGCCACTATTCTGGTTGAAGTTGTCGGATATAGAAATAAGTGATGATTCCAGGATTCTTCGGTATTGAGTGTTGTCTTCTGTGGCGATAAGTCTTGAGTTTCTGTAGTTTATCAAGTGGTTTGTGTGAATTACGGTGTTGTACGCAGGTATTCCTTGTGTCGTCAGACCTGCTTGCGTATTGGTGTTCTGAAATACGTGTTTGGAGGTCCCTTGATGTTTCGCCAACGTATAACTTGTTGCAGTCATTACAAGGGATTATGTATACCCCTGCAGAGAGTGGAAGCTTGTCCTGTCTATCACTG